TCATACGACACATCGGCTTTAATTTGAGTTTTAAATAAAAACTTCTTTAAAGCATGTTCACGCAATTTTTTAAAGTATGAATTGCTTTACAGCCGATCAGCTTCATAGAGTTAGAAACTGCCATGCCATATAACAATTTGATATCATAGTATTAAAATCTTGCCATCATGATATAATTATAAATAAATTTATTTCCGATCCGTTGGGAACCTCTGTGGTTTAAATCGATAAAAGACTTTTTTAATTAATTGTAGTATTTGCGTAAGGAAATCAGAATTCCTATAGTATTTATGATATTAGTAGTATTTAATTTATATGAATAACAATTAATCGCAAGATATGTTGCGATTCGAGTATTTTTTTTGGTCCTTGAACTCTGAGGAAGGTTTTTATGGAGAGACAATTTGTAAATCTATAAAAAAAAATTTAGTTATGTTTAGTACGTAGGTTTTTATACCGAAAAAGTGGACAGTTTCTATGGGGTAGCATAATTTCCATATGTAGCTACTAAAATGGTAGGCTTATTAAAAATATTATATTATGCGAAACGAAGTTCGCGGGGGCAGCTATTTAATTATAATAATATTTATTTGCCATAAAAGTGGCAGGAAAATTGATGGATAAATTACAAACAACTGTTCAATCAACTATTTCAAGACAGCGTTAGAAAAACCGCATTTTTTTTTGTATTATACGTTTGAGAACTCCCTTTTAAACATCTAATCACTATCCACTTCAAAGTACCTTATGGTAACATCTTCTATTAATATCTAAGGTGATATTCATTAAAATGCAACATATACTTTAAGTATATAACCAATATTTGATGTACAATACGTAACGTAAGAGTTTAGTATCGTAAATGTTTCATATCTCGCGTCTACAACAACCACACGAAAATATTTAATTTTATTTAATTCGTGAATTCATAATATTTTCTGCTATTAAATGAATATTTTAGTCAATGTTAGCACCGCGGTTGAGCACGCTTTTGCGCGCAAACAAGCCCCAAGTGACTCTTTACCTTGTGACAAGATACCCCTTAACTTACTCCATTTTGCAGTTCACAAACTGATTCCTATTATTCTAACCAACATAGTTATGCAACGTTTCTGCATTAAGATGTAGAAACTGAGAGTGCCACTAGAGGTTTTCATTGTTTTATTGTGACTAAAAAATATAACTAGCCATATACTTCGTTCTTTTATTTTTTTTTATTTTTTACAATGTGTAATGTGGTTTAGCTTTTTATATTTAAAATCACTTTACAAGAAATGATTTTACTACGCGCATAACAATATACTGAAGTATACGTAATTACAGAAGGAACAGGAAAACAAATTATGATAATATTTTTTTAAATCATAGAAATTATCTAAAAATAATCTTTGCTTAAAAGACAAAAGTATGTTATTCAGTAAATATTTAAAATCATTAAGAAATGTAACATTTTAAATAACTTAACTTATTTTGCAGCCTACCTAAAAACATTGAATAAGATATAATAAATTTTGTACTAAAATTCAAATAGAATAAATTCCACATGAAAAATATTTTAGACGTTATAATAACGTATGAAATATCGTCGTTCGACACGCGTCGCCTTCTACGGAAAACTTCCGTGTCGCCCTTTCCGGCGGAGGGACATAACGCCTTAAACAATTTGTCTGCTGTGTCTAAGCCCGGACGTATAAAATTGCACGTTTATACTTCCCTAGTACATATCATATATGTAACTTTACCTACCTCTTTATTATGGAAAAGTTAGAAGTTACAGTTGAAAATATTAGTTAGCTTATGACCAAAACTATTTCTATAAGAGTTCTATCTATCACTAACGAGATTCTATTAAATTATACAACATAGTTTAATGGGATTTTACGTTCTCTTTTCAAGCCATATCATTAAAGTAACTAATCCATTAACAGTCTGTAAGGAATGACTTCCCTTCTGAATATAGATAATTTTACTGAATTTAATATTTTATATCAATTAATGTAGATGTAACATCCAGCTTATCCATATATTAAGTTAAATGTCATTAAAGAGTAACAAGAAATCCCAAATAAAATAAGATCTTAGACGCGATAATTTAAATGTATTTTCATACGAAGCTATGTAGTGAAATCATTGCCAAATTGTGTGTCACATCGCATGCGCGTAATCCACGCATGCGTACAAGAAAGTCCAAACGTGTTTTTGAATGAAACGTAATTCCCGTGTCACTTTGTCACCTGATTTCCCAACCTTAATCCAGAACCCAGTCATAACTCATTTTTTGCTATTAATGATTTGTGTTTTCTACTACAACTATTTAGTTATATTTTTGAGGTCTACATAACTTCGCTAGTGTCTTGTCATTGGATTACGAAGACAAGCGTGGGAGGATCGAGAATATTTATTTCTTTAGTTTACGGGTATGACACTGGCATAAACTATATCTATATATTGACTGTGTGGGACGTTAGGGTAAGACTCAGTCAAGATTTAGGACTTAGTGTTGACAATGACTCCCACTTTTAGCAGTCTTATAAATGTATGAACATAATCAATGTTCACAGACTGTAATATAATTGTGATTTTACTTTAGATAGTTAAAAGCACTTAGTAATTTTATAACCTTTCTAGCATAGTTTCTTTAATGGCGACCCACGACACAATAGAATGAGAGAGAGTTTTCTTTGTTGAACGTAGGTTAGGTTATGTTTAAAACAATAGGAAATTGAAATTGTAAATGGTGACAATCATGAACATGTTTCAAAAATACTACTAAAATTTTGTTGACTGCAGCGTTCGCGTGCGTGCATGTCTCCAAATTTGTTTAATGCTTTTATTAGAATGAAACAATACACAGCATATTCCTAATTGAAATTATAGAAACTTTAGTTCTAAGCAGTGGATGTGAACACCTTATAATGCATCAATTACGTAATTCAATTTTCTGAGCAATCAGATTATAAAGAGTTTCCCCTGGGTCATGAGGCTCAGCTGATGTTAAGAATTATAAAGCACTTAGAAATTTGATTTTTAAATCACTAAAAATTACAAGTGCGAAAATAAGAAAAACTTCATGAAACACTAATTATAAAACTAGACTTTACATTTATTAACTTGGTAAATCGTAAAAGATTATGTTATGTTGCAAAATAAATAATGTCTACGTCCCATGCAATTGAACTGAGCACGGTTAACAATGTGGAAAACATAAAAGCTTTCAAGTATCTCAAACACAGGTAACGTCCGACTGCAGTCTGCAATGGACAGTTATATACGTATTAGGTACTGACGACTCACCCCTGACTGACCTGCTACTGACACTTCACCCTGTATAAGAAATAAGGCTTGTCGAAGAAATAATGTAACAACCTTATTTTTAAGCCTCAAATATAAGCTTTGTCGTCATCACTCACAATTTTGCAAATAGATAATCATTATTTATTCTTATACATTTAAGAAAAGGATTCGACGTATTATCGTATATTTCTGTATTAAACTTAATAAGTGATCCGTGGGCGTAGTTGGAACTAAACGGACACACGAACATGCATCGAATACGAAGAGTCTTTATATGGAAATCGATAAGTTCAAGCTGTCGAAAACTGAAATCGTCGTAGACGAATATATCGACAGTTGATATCGTAATATTTTTTTCTATTCAAAGCGTATTTATCAATCGTTTTTCCTTTTATAAAATCCGTAGGCCAGCGACTACGACTTGCAGCATTTTGGATATAGAATCCCTAAATCGATAGCAGACCGCACTTCCGTTCTTATTAGCACAGACAAATAAAAATAAAAAGCAAACATACAAAGAATGTCAATGTGTAATGTACAAAATAATATTTTAAATGGCTACGCCATCTTCTTCATTCATTGAGTTAAAAGTATGGTCAACTAAATATATTTTTTACTCTATATAATTAGTAGCCTAGACCCACGACCAGAAAATTAATTCACCCCTGAAGCCGTTCAGATAGTTGATTTCTCTAATTTCCTATGACGGCAAAAATATAAAACCCCGTATAGCTTGAACGTAGGGTTAGTTCTTAGAAATTCTATAAAGAGAGTTTGCATCATCGACACGTAGTCCCCCTAATGGCGTCATTTTCAGTGTTTTATGACTGCCCGTAGTTAAGGTGTGAGGGATCAAACACTATTATTGAAGTGGTAACAAAACAGCGTATAATTTATTATTTACCTAAACTAGGAATAACTTTTTGTGCCTAACTGTTTGAATCATTCTTGTATAGTTAAAACGCGATAGAGGTTTCAACGGTTTAATAATATATAATAATAATTGTCTCTTAAAACAAACGTTTGAGGTAGCTTGGAATGATTATTATATTCGGCTTGCCGTAATATTTTGTAGGCGTCAGTAAATACAATATCTAGGTTTGATTTTTATTTATTATAGGAACAGCATACTGACTGGCTTAGAGACAATTAAGTTTTGGTGAATTTGCGAACCTATTATAAACGTTTGTCAAATAGTTATTCAAGTCGTCAATTCAATTTCTAAATTATCTAACCTATTATAAATAGAATTTATAGACCAGACAAGAAAACAGTTCTTAATAAATCAGTACCCTTCGTGGTTTACTTCAAGCTTAGTCTATACAATCTGGTAATACACGTTTAGATTTATACGGTCTCATGCTATCCAAAAACTGTTTTACTGCTATAATGGAGTAGTTATACCAATAACGCGGCCAAATGCTTGAACAACCTTCCTCCTCTGATTCGTAACTGCAAAAGGATAGTGCGTTTAAGCGCCTCTATTAACTTTCGTCGCGCAGACTTAATAATTTAAATTTATGCGTCTCGTAATTTTAATTACTAATTTAATGTGTTATTTATTATATACAGTGTTAATGTGTTTGCTTAGCGTCCTATGTCTTTCTAAGTGTCATTTCATGTCAGTTCTTTCTTCTTTCCTAATTTTTATTAGGAAAATAAGGTAAGAAGAATGAACGATTTTTACTGATTTTCTAACGTTGCTTTTAAAATAAAACGGGCGCCTCATCATGGTTGACGAGGTTATCGAAGAGATAGTCCTGCGCATATTCCTCTGCAAAGGGCAGCTGCCCATGCCCAAATATTAGTATATAAACTTGTATTTATAATGTAGTAACCATACTTCTGTCACTGTGGATTAAATGTTTCGTTTGTATGTTTAGTAGCCTCACTCAAACGGAAACATGAATCAAACTATAACATACTTCTCACCTTTCATTCTTACCTTTGGTTACTTGCATATCTGCATTTAGCAGTTAACTGTATTTATAACCTTAATTATTCTATACACTTTGGTAACTATTAAGCTTTTTTTAATGTAAATTCATAATATTTTTAGGTTTAGGAAATGTAACCAAATCGTGTATAATATCAGCTCAAAGAGAATCTTTAATCAAGTTTTTTAAGAATCATGTAACAGTCGAGTATGAAGTTTTCCACACGGTGAAGGAAGGCTGTAAAGAGGTTCTATAATATGCCTATATTCTTTAAAATAGTAACTTAGAAATATATATACTATAAGTTCTATTCAATTTAAAAGTAAAATAAATAACTGTTAATACAATAAGGATTCCTAGATTGATGTAACCTTTTTATTTAGTAAATAAAATAAAAAGACTTCGAAAATGTAAAAAATAGGGATAATTTATTATGTATGGTATATAATAAATTAAAAAGGCGTTAATAAATTATAAATACTATTTTATCCAACCAAAGGTTGGAATGGTTTAACGTCGTATGGTTATATAACGCATACGTGAAAATTTCACTCTCCTCAGACCTAACTTGAATATAGAGGACATCATGTTTTCAATAGAGACGAAGACCGTCTTTAGAAGCTAAGGTTAAGAAGCGTGGTTTGTGAGGGGCGATCGATACCTTTATAATCTCTAACCATTGACGTGGGTCACGCGGTATACTCAAGAGGTTATACCGAATACATGATCGAATCAATAACTTAAGGTTAATGTTTCTTTGCTGTCCTTTGCTGTTCTGACGAAAAAAGCTCTAAACATTGATATTTATCAATTAATCTTGTATGAATTTCGACAATTTCTGTCGAACTGATTGCTGGAATAGGTTATATACCTTCAATGTTTTTGTCCTGTTAGGTATATCCTGGATTTTGCATGATGATTGAGAAGTAATTCCACGTCCAATAGAAGTTCCACTTGACAGCTTTTGCTTAATGCTTTATGTCGTGATACCTGAACGGAAACTCACCTGGCATTCGTTACAGGTGTGAACAGAATAGGACTGGTCGCAGTCGTAGCGCTGAAGGATGGTGACGAAATCGCAATGTACACGCGCCACCAACGCGTCCAGGGCTAGGAGGTCTCGCAGCGTGCGCTCGCAGCGCGGCCCGCCGGCAAGCACGTCGGCGCGCGCGCCGCGGTCGAGCGCTGAGGCGGGTGAACGCTCGCAGCAGCCGCGCAGCCGCAACGCCGCCAGACGACGCGCGCGCGTTCCTGCACCAAGCGCGCACAGCGCGGGCACGTCCTGCCCCGCCAGCGCGCTCGCGCCGCCGCCGCCGCACGCCGCGCAATCGCCGCCCGCGCTCGCGCCCTCCTCCTCCAGATCGCACGCGCTCAGCCAGGGGTTGAGGCGCGCGAGCGGACTCACGGCCAGGCCCGCGGCCGCCATCAGCAGCAGCAGCAGCAGCGGCGGCGCTCGCATGGCGGGGGCGGCGCCGCTAGCGGGGGCCGGCCCGCCGGGCGCGCCGCTGCCTCATACCGCATCGCGCATGGCGACCTACTCGCGCGGCCCGGGCCGCGGGGCCGCCGCGCGGGGTGGGCGCGCCGCCATGTCGCTCGCTCGCCGCTCGACTGCCGTGGACTCCCCCCCGGCCGCGCATCGATCGCCCCGCGCCCCCCGTCCCACCAGCCCCGCCGCCGTTATATAACCTGCGCGCGCACCCCAACCCCGCCTCGTGACAACTTCACGGAAAACGTGAAAGGCCATCTCTCGGCCTTTTCGGGGACTCATCACCGCCCGCCCAAACTCTCACACAAGCTTACATAGAATTAAAGACCTTCCCATAAACTCAAATAGGTGGCGCACTAGAAAATTGTAAGGAACTACATTACAAACTATGATGCTATGATTGTCACCTTCTAGACAAACCAATTGTAATGAATTATATGTCTAACAAAGCTTTTCAAGCAAAATTCAAATACCTTAAATGCATGTCCATCACGCATAGTTATTGTATCCAGTGACCCAGATCTAGGTCGATGTCCTGCAAGAAACCAGTTCCAGTTTCAGATGACTCGATCGAACCTATATTGAAGTTGATAGTAATAAGAAATATTATTATGGTCCGCGTGGTCAATTGATAATAGAAATACGTGTGAGGTCCTAATTATAGCCAATTTGTATGGATCATTGTTCTCATAGCAGTACCAACTTGCAATATTAGGCACTTACTTTGATTATTATATTTATAATATAGTAATAACTTACATTGTATGGTTAGTATTCGTTTGTTTATTTAAAAGGGAAAGGGCAGGAAGTACGAAACTAATTAGCCTTACTTTAAAACCATTTGAATTACTGAATTAGTGTTAGTGCACACACAGTGTCTTAAGTGGTAAGTGAAAAGATAAAACACAATAATAGAGTTCCTCTCCTTAATAAAGACTGCAAGTAGTGTTATTGGACACTTTCAATAAAAATATCTTTATTTGTAAATAAGGTTAGACTTAAATTACTTATTAGTCTTACGAATCTTAGGCTCGATCGTAATGTTCCATGATGTCTCAGTGAAGAGACAATATATTATAAATAAAAGTGCGTGCGTACAAAGTACACATGTCAGAAGTGAAACATCTTAGCAAACAAATTTTTAGGTCTTGTTCATTGTTCAGTCATATTATGTTGTAATTTTAATATGTAGTAATAAAGTAGATTCAACGCGAAGCAGACGTTTCATTGCACTAAAATTGTACTTAGTAATTAACCAGTCCGAAAGCAACCTTATCGCCGCAACATATGGTCCTTCGAGCCGGATCTTGTGTCTACTGAGCTGCATCGAAGGAACAATAGACTACGCATTCCATTGCGATAAGGAACACGTTTAGCAACTATTTTGTGCAATTTTTAGACATAACTTTTGAATAATATTGAAATAGAACATGCAAGTGACTTTAAAGTGAGGATTATGGCAAATGTGGAACAGTTATTAAGTGTACTTGAAAATAATAATGAAGTATTAAAAAAGACTCAAATAAATATTAAAAAATGTGCAAAGGCTAGACTTACGAAAGGTTATCTACAAACACGGATGGAGTGTATAGAAAGTTACTGGAAGACGTATAAAAGTGCACATTTAGATTTAATAAAAATTACGCCGCGTGAACAAAAGTCAATTTTACCATATTTTGTCAATGAGGATTATTATTTGATCGAGGATTTATATTTATGTATGGTGTCTGACATCAGGGATATGTTAGAAGGTTTTGAAATTCAAAGAGGACAACAATCCTGTAATCAGGGGAACGGCTCCACTGCAGTCGAACACAACGTACAATCACAGGTTCGACTCCCGCGCATTGAATTACCTACTTTTTCGGGTAATTATGAAGAATGGCCTTCTTACAAAGATATTTTTGTTGCACTGGTACATGATAACACGTCACTATCTAATGTTCAGCGACTACATTATTTGAAATGCAGCATAACAGGTGAAGCAGCATCCTTATTAAAACACATCCAAATCACGGAATCGAATTACTTATCTGCTTGGGAGACTCTAAAACTTAGATATGGGAATAAACGAATGATTATTAATTCATTATTTAAACGATTATTTTCACAAAAGAAAATTATGTCACAATCGGCTTTACAATTAAAAGGAATATTAGATACAACAAATGAAGTTTTAAACAGCTTACAAAATCTTAAGGTGTCCACAGAGTCATGGAACCCTATAATTGTATTTTTAGTAGTTCAAAGGTTGGATCCAGATACTCATAAAGAATGGGAACAATTTTCGTATGATATGAGTCAAGAAGAATTATCTACCTGGTTTGAATTACAGAAGTTTCTAGAAGGAAAATTTAGAACGTTAGAATTGTTAAATCCACCTTTCAAACCAACTCTCAAGCCGTTAAGAGAACGTGTTTTCCACATGTCTATAGAGAAGACATGTATTATGTGTAAGGAAAATCATAGCTTATGTCGTTGCAAAACATTCTCAAAAATGTCACCTGCGGAAAGAAGTCACTATGCACATCACAACAAACTCTGCTTCAACTGCTTGGCTCCAGGGCATTCGGCATTTAGATGTAATTTACCTCTTTCATGTCGAATATGCAAGGCTCGTCATCATTCTCTTCTTCATCAGTCAACTAAAGCAAATGCGTCGGCATCTTTAGAACTCAAGCAACCGATGACATTACCTCAGGAAGAGGAGAATACTCTTGCTACAATGACAGCTTTACATAATGTTACAGAACATATCAATCTATTGGCAACCGCAATTGTGGTTATAAAGGGAAACTATGGGCACACAACTGTACTAAGGGCGCTAATAGATTCGGGGTCGCAGTCATGCTTTATCACTCAAAAACTTTAAAACTCAAGCACTAAAATTGCAACGCAAACCTGTAAATTTGGTCGTCACGGGTATGGAAAATATGAAGGTAAACATCAAACAAGAAGTCAATTTTGATTTATTATCACGTTGGGAACCTAACTTTGAGCTACCAATACACGCCTACGTGATGTCACAGCCATTAAAGTTTAACATACCTTCATCAGAATATTTGCAACAGGAACTGCGTCACTTTGAGAATCAATTTCTCAAAGTGACGCAGTTCCTGCAGCAGATCCAAATTTTTGCATCTAGCAGATCCAAATTTTATGGATTCCGGAGCATTGGATTTGCTATTAGGGGTGCAAGAGTATACAGCAATTCTTAAACAAGGATTAATCAAGGGTCCATCAGGCACAGTATGCGCACAGAAAACCAGCCTGGGATGGATTGTGATGGGTGGAATAAATATCAACATGAAACCAAAGCATAAAGCCATAATGGCAATGAATATCACAACTGATGCAAGTTTTAATGATTTAATTAAAACTATTTGGGAGATAGATACAGTCACAAAACGTAATTTAACTAAAGAAGAATTGAGATGTGAAGAATTTTATAAAGAAACTCATGCTAGGAATGACGAAGGAAGATATATAGTTAGATTACCCTTTAAAACTGAAGCACCATTGTCATCTGAAGGAAATACAAAAGAAACAGCAATTAAGAGATTAATGCAGCTTGAAAGAAGATTTAGTAGAAATCCAGAACTAAAAGACGAATATCTGAAAGTAATAAACGAATATAAAACATTAAATCATATTGAAGAAGTACCTGAAAAAGAATTACATAAAAAATCAGTTTACTTACCTCACCACGCTGTTGTCCGTCAGGACAAAGAAACTACGAAGACACGAGTTGTTTTCGATGCTTCCTGTAAAGGCTCCAACAATATTTCACTTAACGAGGAGCTTCTGTCAGGTCCAGTTTTGCAAGAAGATTTAAGAAATTTAATCATGAGATGGCGTATTCATGCAATTTGTTTCGTCTCAGATATTCAAATGATGTATAGAATGATAAAAATTCATAGAGATGATGTTGATTACCAGCGTATAGTATGGAGAGAAAATCCATCCGATGAGATACGTGACTATCGCCTTCTTACTGTAACGTTCGGGACAGCCTCAGCACCGTATCTTGCAGTAAAAACTTTGAAGCAACCAGCGATTGATGAAGGGGATAAGTTTCCTGAAGCAGCTAGAATATTAAATGAAGATTTCTATGTTGATGATTGCATGTCTGGAGGTGATGACGTTCAAAAAGCAATTCAGATTAGCAAGGATTTAAAAGAATTGTTACGTAGAGGAGGATTCGAGTTGAAGAAATGGTCCTCTAATAATACTGAATTTATGCAAAGTTTAAAACCAGATGAAAGAACTACTAAAGCTCATTTCGATTTAAAACTAGATGGAATAATTAAAGCACTAGGGGTTCAATGGAATTTAGGGAACGATCGATTTGAATACAACTTAAACCTACCTGAAGTCGATGAAGAAAACATTATCACGAAGCGGAATATCCTCTCAGATATACAAAAGTTGTTCGACCCTTTAGGTTGGATCGCACCTAGTATTGCTCAAGCTAAAATATTAATTCAAAAACTATGGCTTGAACAGGTTCATTGGGATGAGGATCTTAACATTTTTCTGAAAGAAGAATGGTTGAAGATTCGCCGAGATATTATGAATGTGAATAACATTTCTATCGATCGATGGTTAGATACTTCTTGCTCCAACATGGATACAATTCAAATTCATGGTTATTGAGATGCTTCTATTTTAGCTTACGCCGCCGTGGTGTATTGCCTAGTCAAGAAAACGGACGGTTCATATAGAACAGCATTAATTGCAGCCAGAACCAGAGTGGCTCCCCTCAAGACAATTTCGTTGCCAAAATTAGAACTTTCTGGAGCTTTGCTCTTATCCCGACTATTGAACCAAGTAGCACAGGCCATGAGAATACCGATGGAAAGAGTTTTCGCATGGACAGATTCATCTATAGTCATAGCTTGGTTGTCTGGCGAACCCACGAAATGGAAGCCATTTGTGGCCAATCGTGTAGTAGAAATTTTAACAAATCATAAAAAAGAACAATGGCATCATGTCCAGTCACAAGAAAATCTAGCAGATATTGCATCTAGAGGTATGTTTATCTCCGATTTGAAACACTGCAACCTTTGGTGGAAAGGACCTACTTGGTTACAAAAAGGAGAAATCATCTTAACAGACGAGAACATAGTTACAACAGATCTAGAAAAGAAAAAGGAAAGAATTAAAACTCTCATATTGACAAACATTAAAGAAGAAAAAAGATTTTCTGAAAAATTTGAAAGATTTATTACCTTAAATGAACTATTAAGAACCATAGCTTATTGTAAAAAGTTTATCAAGTTTAAAAAGGATAATAAAAACATAATTATCACAACAGAAGATATAGAAGAAGCATTACTAACATGTATCAAAATAGTGCAAAATGAAGAATTCGAAACTGAAATAGATTCGTTAAGGAAAAAGAACAATATTAAAAAGAACAGTAAATTGAAGACGCTTAATCCATTTTTAGATAATAATGGAGTGCTCAGGGTGGGCGGAAGATTAGCAAAATCAAGTTTAGAAACAAAATATACTAAACATCCTATAATCATTGGAAACAACAACACTCTTGTCTCACTTATTATCGCCGACGCTCATAAAACAACATTACATGGAGGTATTCAGCTTATGCTTTGTTATTTACGGTCTAAATATTGGGTATTGCGTGCAAAAGACATGACAAAGAAGCATATCCATCGATGTCTAATTTGCGCTAAGGAAAGTGCAAAGGTAAAAACTCAATTAATGGGTGATTTACCTTCCGTTCGTACCACACCTTCTCGACCATTTATCAATGCAGGTGTAGATTTCGCTGGTCCATTTCAAATTTTGATGAACAAAGGAAGAGGTATCAAAACAAACAAAGCCTACGCTGCGATTTTTGTCTGTATGTCTACTAAAGCAATTCACTTAGAACTAGTCGGTGACATGACGTCAAATTCATTCATAGCTGCATACAGACGATTTACATCAAGAAGAGGTAAATGCGCACATCTTTGGAGTGATCAGGGAAAAAACTTCGTAGGAGCAAACAAAGAGTTATGTAAAGCATGGGAAGAAGCAAAATTGCAATTTGACCAAGAAATCATAGACAGCTTAGCAAATGATGGCACTCAGTGGCACTTCATTCCTGCATACTCACCAAACTTCGGAGGACTCTGGGAGGCTGGAGTTAAGTCAATGAAGTATCATTTAAGAATTCTTAATAACAACCTTACCTTCGAAGAGATGTCCACTGTTTTATGTGAAATCGAAGCATGTCTTAACTCACGGCCACTCTGGCATATAAGCCAAGCAGATGATACTCTTGATCCACTAACACCTGGACACTTTCTAATTGGTGAAGCCCCAATAGTTGTACCGCATCCAAAGTTGAACGATATCAAAATTTCACATTTAGCCCGTTGGCAATATACACAAAAGCTATTAAACGATTTTTGGTGTCGTTGGCAAAATCAATACTTGACCAATCTACAACAACGGCCAAAATGGTTAAAAAGAGTAGAAGAATTTAAAATTGGTGATATCGTACTGATAAAACAACAAAATTTACCACCTGGAAAATGGATCCTTGGACGAATTACTGAAAAACATCCAGGATCAGATGGCGTAACTCGAGTTTATAGTGTTAAAAACGGAAATAATATTGTAAAACGATCTGTATCTAATCTTTGCTATCTTCCAATTAATGAAGCTTAAGTGCCAAATTGTTAAAGTATATATTAAGGGTTTGCATGTAATCTTTTGAAAGGACATTAAAGGTCCTTTGGTGGGCGGATATGTTCAGTCATATTATGTTGTAATTTTAATATGTAGTAATAAAGTAGATTCAATGCGAAGCAGACGTTTCATTGCACTAAAATTGTACTTAGTAATTAACCAGTCCGAAAGCAACCTTATCGCCGCAACATTCATATTTATACAAATCTAAAATATTAGATTTCCGAGACTAAGAGAGAGGGAAAAAGGAAGATATGTTAGGAATTTAATTAATTTAATTGTCATTAAAATATTAAGTGTCGAAAAATAATACAAATTATAAATTTATTTCTTCGATAATAAAAACACGTGGCATGTTAATTTACAATTCGTCATTTGAGATTTCAATAACTTATTTTGCATAAAATATAAAAAATTAATATTTAATAAATTCTCTTTACGAAATTTTAATTTAAAAAATATGATTTCTATAAGGTATTTTGCCCTTCTCACTCTCTCTCAATCGGTCTCAATAGCTCTCTCCCTTTTCTTCGACAAAGACGCTGCACATCTTCGTGACGTTTCATCCGTAAAAAATTTACCCTCATGCGCCTAAAGAAGTTTCACCTCAAAAACCTTTGAGGTATTTTAGGTGATAACGGAATAAAATTATTCGACACATTGATTTGAGAAATATAGTATAAACTAGAAACAAAAGTTAAAAGTCCCATCAGCGTTGATAAAAGCCACAAAAATATATAGCTTTTTTGTTTTAAGAAAATATATTAAACAGCAGGGCGCGAAATTACGCTGTGCAATACGAGTGCAGCTTTTTGCCACATGAAGCAAGTTCAAAGTATATATGATCAAAATATTTTTTTTTTTCAAATAGGAACGAACTTTATATTTTTTTATAAAGTACAGGAGTTTTGGACGGAAATACATATATATCAATGATTCGAATTACAAACTTCTTATATAGCACTATACATATTTAGGTTGCTCACATCAGGTAGATTATAATACATTTTTATAAATTTTCCTTTATAAATTATATAAAAGCATTAAAAAATACTTAAAGCCACAATACTTCGCATTAGTACTACGAGGAAGGTAAGATTAAGTAAGCATTGTAAAACTAGTTGGATCGTGACGCAAATATAATCTGTCCCTTTTCTTCACACTGACGACCATTCGGCGTCCCTTTCTCACAATACTGAGCAAATGCGCGCGCGCTACAACGCAGTGCATTCACTCGGCTGTTGTGTTAAGTCACGAAAACGAGTAGTTCTGCTGACGCTACATCGGTAAAATTGTGTAATTTTAAATAATAGTGGTGTAAAGTAACTTACGACATTAATAAAGTTATTTCTGCAATACAGCGCATTTATCACAATGGACGCCACAAGTAAGTAAACATAAGATGTTTCGTCCTATCGCAAAAAAATAGAAAGTACAGTGACATTGAAGTTATGAATATGATCAAAATAACGCAAATCATACTTAGAATCTTATACCAAATATAATATTATTTTAATAAAATATTAATTGTGCCTCCATTTAAACTCGTCTTGATATACAAATTTACTTATAATTACAATAACCTCGAGATATGTGAGAACGTTTATTATTTATACGTTATTACAATAAATAAACTAACCTAATTTGTTGTTTTTATCTCACAGTAAATTAACTAGATAAGAATATATTTCGGTCTTATAATACCATTAAATTTGACAGCGAAACCATTAATTGAGGGTAGAATAGTTTTTATGCGAAACTCAATTGTTTAGTTGTACCTATACAACACAACCCAGTAAAAATATTTTATGTCCGCCTTATTAATAAAATTTAGAAAATTATTTTCGACCCTAACTGCAATCGTAACTTAAAACTTTACAATTATTACGCTGTGTACTCGCATATAAACGCGTTTTAATTACACAAAAAATTAAATACTAAATACTGGTTTAAATATAAATATTTGCGGTATTTAATATTTTAATGATAATTAATCTGGCCTTCTATAGTTTTTGCAAAGAGCAGAACAGTTGAAATTTGTACCATGACTAATCAAGCAACCAATCCTATTTTATTGTAAACGTTTTTAAGATTTTTAATACATTTTTACACTTTCTGTTTTTATAAACCTTGCGGGTAAGTCACGCACTAAATAACTTGTAATTATTACAAAATCAAGTTAAATTTTATTTCCCTATAAAATCAGATCATTTATTTTAAACACAACAAATTTCTCTATAGAATGTATAGCTAATACCAATAAAACAACAGTGAAACAATTGTTGACATACACATAATAAATATATTAAACGGGAGACGTTATAGATTGCTATTGCTCAGAGACCAGCGAATATAGTATATATTATGGAGGAATTATCGTTTGTATTTAGCAGGTTTAATAATAAATATATAAAGCTTAACACAATATAACGAGATAGCAACAAGGATTCACTTAGTTATAAATATATAGAATAATGTAGCTACCTACTAGTCAATCGTATAAATATTAAATGTCATAACATGGAAAATATTTATTTTATTATAAGCATGAGTCGATCGGTTTAGGCCATACAGATACTGTAAACAGGGTTTCTTTGAAATATAAATCAATGCAACAGTGTTTTATTTGCTATTCCTACGAAGCTTCATGTAATTAATTAATCGGAAAGATTGACAGCGCATGCGTCACTATAGGAGATAAGAATTAAGAACGTGATCTCAACTATCTTTCTCGATATCTAATAATGCATACAAAAGTATTAAAAACAAATCGTGATCAATTTTAATATGGATTCTACTATTTAAAGTGCTATCTAGTACGTAGGTATTTTAAAGTTGGTGGTGTTTTACGTAAAATATGATTGAAAAGAGACATACTCTTCAGGGCCAGCCCAGGATGTCGAGTACCTGATTCAAAATTCAAGTCTATAGACATAAAAAATGAGCCAGGGCCCTCGCCCCTCTCATAGTAGGGTGTCATATAGGGATGCGCTAATTTTGTATATTGTTTGTAACCAAATAAATTAAATTAAATATGAAGAATTTAATAAGCACAATACTTCTGTCATAAAACGAAAATTTAATACTATGTCATGTATGAAATAGAAATAGTAATAAAATATTCAAAATTAATGCAATGTCAGTGTAAGAAATAAAATATTTTTTGGTTTAGTTATCGTCAGTATGAAAATAAAAACGTAATGTAATCAATACATATCCGCAATGTAATAAGACTCAGGTGTTTGCAATTCTTATTGTTTAATTTATTTTGTTTACGTTGCTAGTTGAGTAATATAAAATATCACATAACAGACAGTTTTACGCAATTGTTCATTAAACCTTTATTCAAAACAGACGTTGATGTGAATCTGGAAAATTATAGCACACTCTCAATTTAAAAGGTACTTAAACGTACAAAGCTTTTTTTTTTATAAAATAGATAAGTTGGTTATAGTTTAACTTAAACTGTTTAATTTTTTTAGTTTAATAACACAATGGAAGGAATACTACATAAAATATTTAATAATAATAAAATGTTTCAGTGGAAAACAAAATGGGTCTACCGCCACCATATGAACAGATGCCACCAAATCCGGTACCGCCACCATCATATTTCGGGAACGATCCGCCTCCACCAGAAGACCCTCCACGAACGCGTACTATTGTAGTTACACAAATCCGGGAACCGCCATTAGGCCCTCCAAAACTTGGTCCAGGACCCACGGGAGCATCATGCCCAACTTGTAATAAATCAATAGTAACTAGAGTGGATTATGTTCCTAACAATCGAACACATATCGTGTCAGCTGCTCTTTGTGTTCTTGCAGGGTGAGTTTATCCATATATACTTACAGAAAATACTATATAACTATTCGTTTATTTACGTGAACTGTGTGTAATTGTACAGTTTTTTTTAATAAATATCTATTGTCTGTTGAAATAGGAATTTTGTATCGTTGTAGAAACCTCTACATTTGAACTAGCTTTAGTACGACAAAAACCATGTGAAACAGAGACAATACTCTCAACAAATATTATATTACTAACACGCCGACGCTTTATTCGAATTTCGATCGCATTTGTTTTAAGACTTTTTGGCCTGTTTGCGTAATAATCGCGTGATAAACGTAATTTGAAATAAGTAGATAATTACGTATGGCTTTTGCGAGGCACATGCGTAATTAGAGTGATGCCCGACTCTAAATTCGAACCACAGTAGAAAAAAATAACTATTGCTTATAAGCGTGCGCAATTAACATCTTTGTAAAAAACTGGCATATCTTGGGTATGATTTAGAGACATGTCAAGATACTTTTGCATTTGCCAGATGACAAATGGGAGACTTAGTACATTTAGCTGGGACATAAAGTACATACGTGGGTAACACTGAAATTGTTTAGAAAATGAAAAACGGCTTAATGTCATTGCCATTACTTTTATTGTTTTTCGAAGTAATCTCCGTTCCTCTCTTCACATCGTCGCATTCGATGGAACCACTGAGAAAAGCAGTGGGCCTTTTCTTCCTTAGGGGTCTCTTCTATGGCATTTTCGTACGCTTTCACCGCATCTCCAGGGCTCGTAAAGCGAATACCTCGAATTGTATCTTTAGTTCTTGGAAATAAAAAGTCGCAGGGCGTCAGGTCAGGACTGTATGGCGGATGACTCATTATCTCGACACCAGCCATAGTCAAATATTCAACAGTCCGTTTTGCGGAGTGCGCTGAAACATTGTCGTGGTGAAGGAGGATCCTGCTTCGAGGGCGCTGCTGTCGTTTTTTTTCAAGACAATTTTTGTTTAATTTTTCTTTGTTTCGAGCAAGTGTCTTGTGTAATTAATCGCATGTCGTAAAATAATACGGTTAACAAAGTCATTTGTATGTAATGTTGTCTTATGTAATAGATAACTGCTATAACTTGACGCTATGAGCAAATGGGGGAAACTGAATTATACGGGAATGTATAAAATCCATGATTATTATTGATCAGCTCATGATAATTATTGGTCATTGTGAATGCAATTTGAATTGTATTTTAACAAGGGATCTATTCTGTAGGCAGTGGCTCATTGTAACTAGAAAGTACAAACGAATATGAGACAGGAGCATTGATCATTTAGACTACAATTACCAAACTTTCAAGAATATAAAAAATAACTTATATTTAAGTTAAAATCAATTCCACAGTCGTAATATAAAGTTAACTTTATATTTTTGTTGTAATATGTCAAGTGAAACATAACGTAATTAATGGTTGCAGTTCCTTACAATATCCTTGTAAACGTTTTTTTTTAATATTCACACTACATATCAATAGGCATCAGTTATACATGAAACTAGCACGCTGCATTACTTGTCATTCAGATAGAAACAGGGTATATACAGCCAGTTTATTTTTTTTTTACCAAAACCTGTTTTTAGAATTACACAGTAATATGTATCGTATCACTAACATTATACAATTTGTTACATGTAACTCGCATTTACGTTTTTTTCCTTACATATTTATGTTAAATGGCTCAGGACAAGTAATGATTACATTAAAGAACCAATTTAGAAGAATTAAAAATGTGTTTAAATATACACATAATAATTGACACCAGCGGTAATAGTAATACATATTTAATCGTATAAATACTCTATGTTGTTCGTTGTCAATACGTATGTATATAATAAATTAAAGCAAATTACAATACAAACGTGACACTATTTTTAAGTCGAACGTGATATCCATTTCAAATTAAAAATGTTTTTATTAAATCGCTGCGCTGCTATTTTTAGTTCCGATTAGTGAGATATATTAATCATAATAATTATTCAACTTTCCTTTTAAATGTATACCCGTTACTTATTAACATTATATTTGTATCATCCGTATATTTTGGATATTTATGAAATAACATTTACTCGTACTTCACATCGCCTTGAACGTAGATTTTTGTACGCACATACAAAGGAGAAGCCTTAATCTACGTTTCTAAGCTGGTTTTCTGAGACTCCAGTAATACCATAGACACATTTTCCGCCTGATTAATACGTTTATGTAAGAATAGATGAAGAAGATATCTTCTTCCTATCCGGTACACTCTTGACAGAGCGGTTTGTTATGTTTTAAACATACACATGTATACTTTAATGTTATTTGTACGGTTCTATTTACTTTATTTGGTTTACATTGATTATCAAATATGAATGAAAACTCGGTAAAATGGAACGACAAAGAGCATTATATCCGTCGCCAAAAATGGATTGTCTTCGTAGGGTTTGGTTATTGGGATGCAGATAGGAGATCGATCGACTGTCACGGTCTGATCTCAGATTGTTTTCTATCTGGTAATGTGGTTTGATTATTGGGTTCGGGCGTTAAAGTGATAACTCTGAGAACTCAGCGCTAATTATCTTAAACTTCTGCCCTTCTAAATTCTTTGTGCTGTCATGGCCGACCTTTATAGTCTGTCTGACCTATTGAATAAATCTTTATCAATATAAGAATCAAAAGCAGGAAAGTTATAATATAAAAACTTTTATAATTTTATACAAATTAATGTAATTTCAGATGCTGTTGTGGCTGCTTCCTGCCGTACTGCATGAAATCGTGCAGGACAGCGAACCACTACTGCCCAGCTTGCAAAGCCTTTATTGGCTCCTATCAGCCGTCGTAAAAGAAAATAAACACGAAGATAACAAGAACTATATCGATGCAAATTAATTGCTAGGTCTCGTCTCGCATAAAACCAAAGACGATGAAAAATAGGTTATTGAACTTCATTAATATGCTGACTCTTGCGTTCTTGAGACTGTATATTGGGTAATTAAACGCCTAGATAGAATCGGAATAAATAATTATTAATTTAAGTGAGAATGTGAGCAAAATAGATTTTATTACAGATGACAAATAATTGAAATATTAAGAATAGAGAATTAATTTTTATTTTATGTCGTATGTTAATAATATTGTATGTTGGTGTGAATTGTGTGTGTGAAGTGTTTTTGTATTTTCATAAATCTTTTGAAACGCCGACTATTCTAATATTATATATTGTAATAATGATAAAATTGCTATGAGGTAGATATATGTGGGTTTATAAATGTCAGAATAAAAATATCTTTCTAATACAAAGGATTTTATTAATTCTATTATACTGGTATTTAATGCTGCGTCTATTCATTTTTTTGTTGGTAAAATATTTACTTTCCTTAGTTAATGTTATATTATTTTTGTATAGGTACTTGGTAATTGTGAAACTTCAAGAAAATGGATAAAGTAGCTAAGGCGAAACAGTTTTAACATAGAATTTGGAATTAGCCTACGAAAAAACATCTATTTTTTTTCAAAAGCATCAAGATGAAGTTTTATGCTTTGTAGCCTAGGTTAGTAATTTTCGTCGGCCGTTGCCATATCCAAAATATCGGGTGAAGTCAAACTTTATTTACATATTTCAAATAAGTAATAACATACATTTTTATCCAAGAAATGCTTTTTTACAAAATTTAGAATTTGAAACCTTTTTAAATATATATATTATATATTAATTGCGTCAAAACCAGCATTACCGCCACAGAGCGCTTTTACAGATAATGTAAGGCGATACAGTTGAGGAGCGACAACAAAACATACTTGATATTATCTATCTATCTATGACTACCCATATACTATCAATATAATCTTTATTTTGCAACTTCCTTACGAAAAGTTCGTAGTTTAACAATATAAAATAATTTTATTTCTTACCTACTCGAACTAAGTCGCGGGAGTTTGCTAGTAAACAATGAATATATTAAATATTTATTTTATTGTGTTAAATATAAGTTTGGGTGTACTTAACACCAACAATATTTAATTATAAAAACTATATAAACAACGCTAAAATAACGTATTTCTTGTATAAACTCCAAGGAATCGTCGGCAGTTCGGACAAAAGTGCTCCACGTTTTTCCATCTTTTAATAAAGTACGGTAATATACAGCAGCAAAGCCACCTGTAAATCATTTTAAGATTTTTTAATAAAACATAATAGACTTTACAGCTTACTAGTGAACATTAAGAAGAACAGAGTGGACTTATATATATATAAGTATATATATTATAATTATAATATTAATAATAATTATTATAATATATATATTGAATTTGTTGGTACCAAACCAATTCCTAAATCACCTGCAATGCACTCGTGAGCCCTCCGGCATTGAGAGTGTCCGTAAGCGGAGGTATCACTTAATATCAGGTGAGCCTACTGCCCGTTTGCTGTTCTGGGGTTTTTTTAAAGAAACGCCAAAACCCACCGAAATATATTTATAACATTATTATTCGTATTTTAAAATGTTTTTAACGTTTGGTTTTGTTAACTGCATGCATGACGATGTGACTATTTAAATCACACTCTATTGACTTTTAATAAGGTAGGTCAAAAGTAACATGATGACTATGAAACAAGCGAAACGTCAGATAGCCAATATAAGTAACAAAATTAATCTGTCATATGCTTTTCAATATAGACTTTTTCAATATATACTATTTTATAACCTTGTATTAAATTATGTAGTACATAGTTTATCAGCAAATATATCATCTAGTCATTTATCTAAGTCGTGGAGCGGTTTAGTATCGTAATGTTAACTATTTACGTCTATACTAATTAGTTCAAATGTGCAGACGTATAAATGGTATCTTGCGATAATATACTTTTTAATATCTACATCAAATTATCGTGGCCTTAGTAGTTACGTATTTATATTAAATATTTTACAATGCTTTTAACCTAGCTTAACATTACTGTAGGAAAACCTTTTTAAATGTCGATAATGTAGAAATAGATCTTCGAACCAGAAAGCACGCCCAAATCCTATAGATTCGATTAACCTAAGTCTATAAAGCGGTACAGACCAAAACAATAAACCAAGTATTAAAGCAGCTAGATGTGTCTTTGAACTATTTTTGTAGTCAGCTCTTGTCATAATTTCTTCGTGGCAATGCGGGCATCGCATGCCTACAGGCTCTGATCCAACTTGAAGCAGGTCCATCTCGATGCAGACTTCATTTGTACTCTGAGTGATTTGTTGATACATGTTATCCACTGAAAAAGATAAGAGCTGGATTAAAACTTTTATGTATTTCAAGCACTATTTTTTATTTGAATCAAATCTTTTTTCGTCGACATTCCCGAAAGAAAACCAATTACGATATTGATTACTCTAATTATCCTTGCTATATACCACTTTTCCATACTAACTTAATTCACGTAGTCTACGCATGATCAAGTTCATGCTTGCAAGTTCCAAAGGTTCTAAAGTTGTTTCTACCTGAATACCAAAAGTTTATGAATAATCAATACAAAACTTGTGAGCAGTTTAAATGCCTATAGCAAAACATTAGTTAAGCATCGAAAATTTATATGACAGTTAAATAAAAATATCTACAAATAGAAATAGATAAACCTCATAACATAGAAAATACAATCCACATTTAAGTTATTTTAATGAAGTACTTACTTTTGGCGATATTCTTTATTCACATTCGTACATATTTTCAACTATTTTAATTTAATAAACATTGTTTTTGTCAGTCAATAACGGGAGAGTCCGCCAGTGAACGAAGGATAGCGTAGATAGGCGTTTATCACACACTTATTGATAACACATCGATCAAGTGCACAATATTTCTAATCTATCGAAAGTAAACACCAGAGTCCTGACGACAGTCTAGCGCTAGTCGATCGTTTAGTAAATACTTGAAAAAGTCTTCAAATATGAAATAATTTTTTTCTGTTAGTTAATCGTATAGATTGAAGTGCAATTTGCTAAATATTTTTGTTATTAAATTCCTTTCGTATATCTTAATCCATTGGAAGTAAATATCAAAGTTTTAACGTCAAGCTTACAGTTAACGTTCCTTTGGTAAAAAATACCTTAATAGGGTAAAACTTATATGTGGTTGCTAAGATAAAAAAAATATGCATACAACATGTTTTTTACGTTTCTATGCACTGAATAATTTATAGAGTACTGCTCGTACTCTTATCATTACGATATGACTATTTATTGATTAAAATACGACAATAATGATATAGCTCAGAAGGACGACTATGACGTATCAAAAATCAAATCACAAGCATTTCATGAAATTTGGAAAAAAGAATATCAACGTTAGTACGCATTTATAATATTAAAATATAGGCCGGGAGATAGTGACACAAAATAGTCGGTTATTATTTTGTACCAGTATGGCGGTTCTTCAGGGGTCTTGTTACGAAATGAAAAATTATGGTCATAGCTCTGGTACCGGCGGCCCAAGTGCGCGGGCGTTAGTCGAACTCGTCGGATTGATAACGACTTTCAAACGATTTGTTTCACAAAAATTCTAGTTTTTATCCAATACTTAGTCCATAAAAAAATAAGAGTCAGCAGTGTCATGCCATACTTCTAAAGTGTGACTTAAACTAATTTTTTAACGGCCTAACAAGTCTATAGTTGCTGTTTGCAGTCTGCACTCTGGTGTCAGTTTCATTAATTAATATAACTGTCGGCAAACAAATGTCAAAATTTCAACAACAGAGTACATAGAGAAAAAAAAATCTGAGAGACGACTGACGAATCACGAAAGTTAAGAGCTCATTACACTCTTTTTTATTAATGGAATTCCTTCACTGATATTGCTTTAATGTTAGAAACTTAAAAAGTGTCTTTCAAAGGAAAAATGTATTTTTGATAATTTCATATCAAAGAATTAGCCATGGACGTGGATCTTCTTAGGCCGGGAACAGTACCAATATCACCGGATACTGTGTTATGGTTTGAGTTTCTTCTTGATCCTACATTACTGAAAAGACATTTGAATAAACCTAATCCAGGTAAGTTACTTTTGAAACTATATAATCCAAAACAATTATTAAACAATCATAGTATTTCTATGAGATCTATAAAATGTATAAAGGTCTTTTATTTTGAGTGCATTTGTAGCTATCCGAGAATTTAAGTATTTCCACTATTACTTAATTTTAATTAATGTCACTTATTACTAATTTTTAATCTCCACAGAACCATCAGGATGTCAGTTAATAGAAGAATTTCTATCAGTTGATGCTAAGAATCAAAATTCTAAATTAAGTGATAGGGTAGTAGATGTTGATGGGCCATCAAGTCCTGCTCCAAGTACACCAACTGTTTTACAATTCACTAGAAAACAACTAGCATTGAAGATTTTAGCACTTAAAGTTGCGCCCTCACTTAATTGGAACTTAGGTATATTTTTCCTTTGTACTACAGTACTAACAAGAATTTTTTCAATACAATGACACATGATTAAGATATTCTTTTGAGTACAACTTACTAAATCATTAGTGTGAACTTAGGTTACTATAAATATTCAAAAGATAATTTTCTGATGAATCTGATATTTAACATACATGTAGTCATGTACTAGTATAGAATATCTAATTGCATTACTTTCTTATAGGTAAATAAGAAATACTATTCTGTTGTCACTCAATTAGGTAAACTGCATTCACATTTTTGTATAGTTTTTGCTATTTAATATTCTTTAGGCTTAGCCTTCTTACATTATAAAAAAAATAATAAAATAAAGGCTTAATATATTATTAAATTTGAATGTATTTTATTAACATTTGTTTTGTACTAATACAGTACAGGAATTCATACAGCA